CTCTAACTCCACATACTATCACAGCAGATGAACCTACCGCTTCCCAAAAGCCAATGCCATCCTAGTCTAGTCTTCACCATTTTCCCCTCCCCACTAAGCACCCGATCCTTCATTATCACCCCCCCCCCCTCGGCTCCCTCCCCGGCCATTCCCCGTCAGTTTTCTCACCGACTACTGTGCCGCCTGGCAGGTTCTCCATAACACTGAACCGATGCACGTGCTCTCGGAACTGCGGCGCGTGGTCGTCCTCGTCTCGCACGTGCACCTGCACGTAGCGCACCGTCTCGTGCGGTATTGGTGAGCCGTGGTCGCGCGCCACCAGCACCAGCTGCGAGAAAAGCGCGCGAAATCAGTCACGTGGGTAAGGGGTGGGGATAATTGAAAGTTATTAGTTATTACCATGGGGATGCAAGTAAGCAAGATTAGCTTTGTATGGTGGGAGGAGGCAACCGGCAAGCGTTGAGACACAATCGACTTTTAGCGGGATTCGTTCCCGGGTATTCGACGCATCTGCCCCTAGCGGATTATTATTCGTTCATACGATCAGTCATTCAGCCATTCATAATATATTTCCAGCCTTGTCTCTACCCTATGCTACTCGAGCACTGAGCAAGTTACGTCCCCTTCTGATAGCGACACCCCAGCTTCTGCTCAGCTTATTATTGAATGATTTCCCATCCCTGCCCTAAACCCTGGCAGCCCTAGCCGAAGGCAGTCCCAGCCACGGCCCTGAAGCTGCGCCACTTACCGTGTAGCTGTCGCGACCCTCTCGGTCGAAGCGGACCTTGCTGCGCACTTCTCCGGTTTCAGAGTCGATGGTAAACTCTCCCGTCTCACTGCCGTCTGTCTCATTCACTCTAAAACACAGAAGTAGGGAAGGGTGATGAGTAACGTTCCATTAATTGAAAAAGTTGGTGAGGCGAGAACGGGGCAAAAATGCTAAAAAAGATAGATAGGCTAGCGTCACAAAACAATGCACTGATATTATAAGAAAAGACGAAAAGATCTCACAAACAAAATATACGTAATGACGAGTGGCAACAAGTAATTAATATAGTCTCTTATAGAATACAAGATAAAAAAAAACAAATAAAGTACGAGCTTACTTACTTACTTAGACTTATTTCGTCAATATTTCGAGTGAATAAACAAACCCACGCCCCCCCCCCCTCCTCCCACACACACACACACTGCAGCACGGATAGCTCAATATGTGACGTAGTAGAAAATAAAAATCCCCACCTCCCTCACACGGCACGGCACGGAGGTACTCTCACCTGAAGTAGTAGGAGACCTTGCCGTTGTCGCCCTGATCGGAATCCTCCGCTTTAGCCGTCAGCACCAGACTGCCGGCCGGCTGAGAGTTCTGTAAAACGAGGAGCAACGTTCTATCAAAGAAGGAACATACATACAAATCTGGGATACCATCCCATAACCGTGACATACTGTGAAATGAGGAAAATCAGGGTGACATTTCCGCCTCGCCGCTTCGTTTGTACTCGCATCTCTCCGCATCTCCAACGAGCGAAACCAATAAAACCGTCCTTATGAAGCTAAACCCTCGGCGCTAAGCACTGAGCAGCCAGACAAAGGAAATATCTTACCTTACAAATTTTACAATATCTTAATCTTACAAAATATCTTACAAATATCTTACAAAAACTCAGTGAAATTTATCTCACCTTACCGCTATCCCCAAGCTCAACACTCATCCTTCGAAACCAGCCCCCCCCCCCCCAAGAGATACCCCCCCCCCAAGAGATACCCCCCCCCCTCCCCAGACCCACCTCAGTGACCTCGAAGACGGCGTTGTCGGCCGACGGTCTCACGAAGCTCGGTTTGTCCTGGTTGGCGGCCAGTACCGTCACCCTCACCATGGCCGTGTCGTTAAACGTGCCGTCCGTGGCCAGCGCCGTCAGAGACATCTCTGGAGGAGAAACGGAACTATGAGCCATGCATTAGCTAGACTTAAGTAGCGACATCTCTGGAGGAAAAACGGAAGTCACCATGAACAGCATATGATCTGCAATGCATCAAGGGAGAGCTAGATCTGGGAGCGACATCTTTGAGGGAAGAACTTAACTATCAGCAATATATCATATGGGTGATGGAATACAATAACAGAGACATTGCTGGATGGGGAACACGGAAACATCAGCCAAAGCTGCCGCATAAAATTTTCCCATACCTGCTACATTGCATGATTAAACCGAGACATCCAGGCATTTAAACGGCACGTGCACTGTACCACACTTTTCAAAGTTTAATGCAATGCTTTAATATTACCAGCCGTGTGGTTCAAGGGGTGTGGTTAAACACGTTGAACCACACGGCTGCTGACGTCACTTTCATATAGTTGTGAGCTTTTTGGCAGGTATGGGAAACACCTTCCAGCCCTAAGGCCGGGAATTCAATAAATGTCACCTCGCTTTTTTTTTAGCAAAATCACCTCGGGCCTGACGGCCCTCGGAGTTTTCGCTAAAAAACCTCGGTGACATTTATTGAATCATCCCGGCCCCGGGCAGGAATATATTATCAGCCATATATTCTGTGAAGGAATGAGGAAAGACGGCCACAGCAATATGTCTGGGGGAGGAAACATAGAAGTAGAAGAGTGACATTTCGTCTGGACGATGGGAATACTCAGCGACAATTTCATATGGAGGAGCTGGAAAAGAATTGCCTATATCTTGCTACAGCTTTACCTGTACTATCCCTCCCTCCCCTCTTCTCCCCCTCCTTACCGCCCAGTCCGGCCTCTACCCGTTTGGCGGGGTACAGGAACCCCGTCTCGGGGTGTAGCCTAAAACTGGCCGAGTGAGGACCCGGCAGAAGCGAGTAACGAATCGCCGAGTTATCCCCAGAGTCGGTATCAGTTGCCACCACCTGCCAAAGAGGTCACCGAGGTCAGTCGCGAGAGAGGTCAGGTCAGGTGATAGAGGTCAGGGACCCTGACCTTCCCTGAGGGTAGGAGGTATAGGCCGGGGTAACGTCAGAGATGTGTGTGTGTGTGTGGGGGATAGGGTATTACACTATTTCAGGGCCATGAGTGTAAAAGACGCTTCGACGGATGAACACGAGCTTATAATGCACATTCAACCTGACTGGTGGCATGAAGAATCAGTTGGCACAACGTGCTATTACCGTACACATCATCATAATGCGATGTACATACTGATATTTTCAGCATGGAATGATCGCTGCCTATCGAATAAACAGGCGGTTACCCATACATAAAATATCCACAGCTGCAATACCCACCCCGGTCACATACCATGTTACATACCATCCTCAGTCATGCGTGTCATACCCTGACCCTATCGCATACAAACCTGCAGTATGGGGCGGGTATGTCCGTACAAACCTGCAGTATGTACCTATGGGGCTTGCCTTGTATGTCCATACCTACCTGCAGTATGGGACTAGGTGGAGACAGCGGTATGTTCATACTCCATACATACCTGCAGTATGGGACTGGGCGGCGACAGCGGTATGGTCATACTCCATACATACCTGCAGTATGGGACTGGGCGGCGACAGCGGTATGGTCATACTCCATACATACCTGCAGTATGGGACTGGGCGGCGACAGCGGTATGTTCATACTCCATACATACCTGCAGTATGGGACTGGGCGGCGACAGCGGTATGGTCATACTCCATACATACCTGCAGTATGGGACTGGGCGGCGACAGCGGTATGGTCATACTCCATACATACCTGCAGTATGGGACTGGGCGGCGACAGCGGTATGTCCTCCACAATACTGGCAGAGTACACTGGACGGTTAAACTGCGGCTTCTGGTCGTTAATATCCAGCACTGTGATGTTCACCTGTTGAGGAGAGAGTGGTGAAAATTCAGAGGTTAGAGGTGGTGAAAGGGACAAGAAGAAACACGAGGGAGGGGGGAAACATGCAAACACAGGCCTAGAAAACCGAGCTGGCATTAAATCGAAAACAACAAACCGTCCTAGTCTTAGGAGCAAAATATATGGGTAGTAATTCCATAATATCGCACAATATGAACGTCATCCACCCAAGAGTCTCTTTTGTCTCTGCCTTCACTCTGAATATGAACCTAATTATCCTCTACCCTCCTTTCAATCGCCCTTTACTCTTGAGAAGAACTCTCTTCTATCCGCATCACTCTCCCCCTCCCTCCCGCCGTCCATCCCCCCCCCCTCTCTCTCTCTCTCGCTCTCTCTCGCTCTCTCTCGCTCTCTCTCGCGCTCTCTCTCTCCCTCTCTCTCTCTCTCTCTCTCTCTCTCTCTCTCTCTCTCTCTCTCTCTCTCTCTCTCTCTCTCTCTCCTCTCACCAAGGCAGAGGCGCTCCGTCGACCCTGGTCGGGCCCCATGTCGAACGCCGTCACAGTTAGTAACACCTGAGGCCGCTTCTCGCGATCCAGGTCTGCAGTTAGCAGACGGACCACACCCAGATCGTCGACGGAAAAGTCGTCCGCGAGATCACCTGAGGGGGTGGGGGGTGGGGGGTAACAGAGGGTGTGAGATGGCTTTTGGTGAACTATCTTTTGCTAGAATAACGCCGATGAGCTGAGATTTGTGAAATACGGCTCAATATCGATAATGTCAATGTCATTACATGATACTTTATTTCTAATGTAGAGTGAGAAAATGGAAGAGTGAGAGAATGGAGAGTGAGAATGTCTGTGACTGATTAACTCAGGAGGGACCTGGGACTGGTTATTGCAATACGATGGGGTTACAAAGAAAGTGTTGAGTTTAGGAGAAACATTATACCGCCAAGTTAATGACAGATGCGAAAGATAAATAGGGCGAATACATCAGAGGACAAGATAAGAAGACAGACACAGCAAAATTCCAAAAGCCACTGTAGGTAAATGACGGGCACAAAATAAAACCAGAAAAAACCACCAACGCCAACTCATGCCAAGCAAACTAACAGCCTTTCACAATTAGGCGGGAACAGGACAGGGTTGTTCGAGGACAAAGCGTGATTAGTTGTGAAAAGCTGCGACATCTCCAGTTATTGCTGGTTGATTACTCGACACGTTACCGAATATGCCCATTCTAAAGATAAATGTAGAGTAATGGCTGCTAAAGAAAAAAAAAACAGATCCTATTCAAAACAAAAGAGAAGCAGAAAACCAACACCGAACAGCAGGCCGTAAAAAAGCCAATAAAGGGAGGTATTGCAAAGCAGCTGTAATTCAGAAATACACGAGTCAGCTGTGCCAATTCCAAGCAGACAAGAAGGTGTCAAGCTGGATGCAAAGCTAAAACACGACAGCTTAGCACGCAGTCCCGTTACCCAAGTCCCGACCACAGTTAGTCAAAAATACCTGTCACCCGACACTGACAGCGAAACCGACACCGTCGAGCATCAGACTAGAAGAGAAGCCTGTAACGATCCGGCCAAAACCGGTTAAAGAGGGAAGAGGGGGAAGTAGCGGTGATTTCGTTACGTATAACTATATAACTATCATCCATCTTTTACTTTATAAATTTAGTTCAAACGTTTGAATGGACGGATTGACAGAACCGGAGCCTACGCTAAGCAGAGCTTGTTGCGTAAACCCTATCCATTTACCTTTCCTCAATTTAATAGCCATATTCAACAGTCATTACACAAAAAATAGCCCCCTTTTAGCCGATGCTCTCCCCAGTCTCCACTCATTGATGTCTACCCTCTCCCGATGTCAATTCAACTACCATCGCTACCCCTCCCCTTTTCCCCTTCATTCTCACCAGGTATCGTGTAGCTGACTTCGCCGTACATTCCGGAATCAGCGTCTGTGGCTCTGACCTGAACCAGCTCCACGCCCGGGTCACTGTGTTCCTCCACTGAGGCAAAGTACACGTCCTGAGGGAGCAAAATCACACAATTATAGCCATCAGTGAGTGGAATGGAAAACATAGCCCGGTGAACGACTGTTCCGGTTGTTTTTCAATAGAAAAACACAATATTCACGAATAGTGTTTAGTCTTTTCAAACAACCTGCGGTGCAACCACAGAACTGGTTGCTGTGTTCCTCCAATGAGGCATAGTACACGTCCTGGGAAAGCAACAACGACACAAACAGTCAGTGCATGTACGATTTGTTTGCTGGGATTCGCGCTGACATCGAGATTATCTTGACAGAGTTAGGTGTGCGGAAGGAAGCGTGTGACAAAAATGTGAGATAAACATTTGAAACATTGGCATGCCTCCATCCTAATGGCACCTACATACACAAATGTTGTTAATTTGATGGCTGTAATTACATTTGATGGTTAGATGCTTCGGACCTACGTATGAGCCGCTCCGGCCTCCAATCACTGTCATCTATCCTAGGGCGTAACTAGTAACTACCCCAATCAAAACAAAATTCCGTTCTGGGCTGGACGGTCCCGTGCTACGTGAGGAGCTACGTGGGTAGCTCCTCAAGAGCAGGCCCATCGTGCGGTGGGGTGACCGTTGGCAGGGCTAGGTGGTCTGTACAAAGTGAAAGCCTGAGCCCGGGCGGAGCAGTCTGTCCTGAATGGCTGTCCCTACCAAAATATTTACAATCACCATGCATTGCATACCTACCCTATGTATGAGCCATACCTATCCAAAAGAGCCATACCTAATACCTATCCAAAAGCACCGCCAGCTTCAACTGTTCCACTCCATCCCATTCTCCTTCCTCACCTGCTCAAACTCCGGGCTCAGATCGTTGACGTTGACCACGTTGATGACCAGGTGTGCAGTGCTGTTCCGCTGCGGCACGCCCGTGTCGAAGGCCATGACGTCCAGCTCGAACTGCGTGATGTTCTCGTAGTCGACCCGGGAGCGGACGGATAGCTCGCCTACTCAGGGCGCGGGGGGGGGGCAAATTAGCGTGCATGTAGGTCGTGTTTTGATATTAACATAGCAAATGGTTTGACTTTTATTATATTTTTCACTTTATTATATTGTATCGACATTTATTATATCGCTATCCTTCAACCCCAATCAATGTAATATTTTTAGGCTATGAGCTCTTAAATGAGACGAACATTTTGCCGAGCATTATTTTTACCGGTCATAAGTCTTCTCTAGCCTAACCTACCGCAACCTCACCCACGACACAGGTGTGTTTCAGGCTCATTTCCTTGGCGGATGAATATCTCATCGACACAAAACTAACTGACCCGGACGTGTTAAGATTAGCCCTCCCTCGCGTTGCGGTGGCAACCACGACACTCTTAACACATATCCATCACAATGACGACATAAACCAATTAAAATACACAATTCACACCGTGAATTGTTCATTTATATTTTATAATGTCGGCTTAACCGGATGAAAGTGTCACTTGTGGCTAAAAAGAGAAATATATGCCTCGCATTACGTTTTTCTCAATAACTCTCATCAATCCTCAACCTAACCATGGAGAGGTTGGATGCACCCGCACCCGTCTCACCTGTGGCCGGATCTAGGCGCACCAGTCCTCCCTCCTCTGCGTGATATCTCCGTACGAGAGTATCCCTATCTGTCGCTCGAACCCGTCCGAATACTGTGCCGGGCGCTAGCTCTTCTCGCAGCTCGAAACTGAGCACGGGCCGCTCAGGGGTCCATGGCGGGGAGAATTCGGGGGCGAATTCGTTGACGTCGACAATAGTCACCAGAAGACGACCTGGGGACGGGGGAGGGCGGGGGGGGGGGGGGGGGGCGTGTTACGCAGCGCATATTACAGAAGAAAGACCTAGTAAGACAAGTCGCAGAGGGCAAGATGGGATTCAAAAGGTGTGCATTAAAAAGAATAATAGAAAAAGTATTCGTTGGTATGTACTGGGTATGTACAGCTTTGATCTGTCATGCAGATGTCGAGAATACCAAGCACCATAAATGAGCCTTATGTCGAATAAAGGGAATGAATGAATGACTTGATGAAAACAAACAGAATGAATGTATAAATAAACACATGCTTTCAACTCCCCATTCTTCCAGTCTTCAATGACCCGTAGCCCACGTCTTCTCCTGCCTGACCTGTGAACTGACCCCACTCATTGACCCTTTACCCTACCCCGTTACCCGTTATCCCCTCACGGACCTGAGCTCTGCTGGGGCGGGAAGGCGCTCGTATCCGTTACAGCCACGGCCAGTGTGACCACCGCTGCCTGATCGCGCATCAGAGGCTCCGCCACAGACACCCAGCCGTCCGAAGACACGTTGAAGAAACTCTGAAAACGGAGAGGTTAGCGTTAGAGTACTAACGTTTGGGTTGTCGTGTGAAACTATTGAGATATCCCAAACACAAAAAGTAGCGATATTGGTATGAACTATTCATAAAATGTCTAACAACATTCAACATATTTATGCAAAAACCGCATAAAATCAGCAGCCAGCCTGCCTAACAAAGGCGCACGGAGCGCGATTATATCACTAATCACTATTCACTAGCCCACGGGAGCCCCTCCCCCTTACTCCCCCCCCCCCCCCCTACCAACCTTGTAGGCTCCGTTGGGCCGGTCCACTTGTTTGCCGCTCTCACTGACTGCCGATTCGACCTTCTCCAGACTGAAGACCAGATCCTGCGGAGAGGCTACGTCGGGATCGACAGCCGACAGCTGGTAGAATCGCGAACCGACGGCCGCGTCCTCAGACACCTGGTGGTGAAAGAGCGAACTATTCAGACACCTGGTGGCGAGAAGGCGAACTACTGACACCTGGTGGACGGAGTGTCAATCGCATAAGCTTTAGTTATGTCTTCACCGCTAGATGGCAGAAGCGAACAAGGTGTCAAATTGCTACGAGTTATCTCGAACTTCGCATTACGTAATCATCCTATTGTCATAGCATGGGTTGCCCTTGTCGTTCAAAGCAATCGCCTATAGATGTCACTACGAGTCTACGCAGAAAAACAACGCGAAATGCCGGTAATCAACGGGAATCTCGTGAAACTTGCAATGGGCTCCTCCGCTTGAAAGAGTTAGGGTACGAGTTTTCATCCCGGAATTTTATCTTTGCGCAGTGGCGATACAGTAACCAATGAGGTTTATCCGAGGTGCTGTTATTGCTAGTTGAAAACTTTACCCAATACCCCGCCTGGACGACGTGAAATACCGTCGGCCAAGGCAATGTTTGAACGGCCTCACGGGGCCTACTAATATACAAATAACGAGGAATGGTGAAAGCTAACAACAATCTAACGACAAGAATTATACGGTTTTCTTAAGTTTGCGTTCGTGATCTCAACTAAGGCCCAGGCCCGTGCTGCGCAGCTGGCCTACATACACGATGAACATTACGTCTTTTGCGTCGCCATGATAAACATATTTCTACTGCCTGAAGTGACGCCTATTTCACTACTCGTATCCACTTGAATTCTATTACTGTATTTTCTAGCTTGGTATTATGCATGCAAATGCAATAGCAGCAATATTGCCTTTTCATGAGTCGCTTTCTTTTTTAGCGTAAAGATGAAAAAGTATGTACAGCACAGCGGGAAGCATCTACGTAATATTGTGGTTAGAAATCCATACAAATTAATTGGTAAAAAATAATCATTGGAAAATAATACCCAATAACTACAAATCACTAGATAACGATATCTTGGTCTTAGCCTGATATCTATGTTAATTGCTTTATGTCAATCATAATGAAGATAACATTCAGTAAATCCACCGAAAATGAGAGTGACCCCCTCCCCCCCCCACTCCCCGTATTCTCCCTACCTCGGCACGCTGCGTTCCCGGCGTAAAGTGGGGACTCTTGTCGTTGGAGTCGATCACCATCACAGATAGGGTAGCCGTGCCCGTCTGGGCCGGAGAGCCTGCGTGAAAATGGGGGGGGGAGGGGGGTAAGTTATAGAGGAGGAGTGTGTTATAGCTGACACTTGACAAGTCCTCGTTGGATTGGGGCGCACGGGGTAGGTGTAAAATGGAGAGCAAACTACCATGAAATGATGGTGACTGAGGTGACTCGCTAGAGTATGATAGTAGAGGCTGATGAAGTATGGTTTCATATTGCAGCCGTCAAAAGAAATACGAATTATCTCCAATTAATTCCTTTTATTTTAATTCAACCGACCCCTTCCTGCTACTTGTTCCTGCAAAACAAACTTGCACTAAATATCCCCTTCATGAATCTCTCCTTCCACAAATCCCCCTTTCCCCACAAACACGCCCCCTCCCTATATCTCCTTCTTCCCCCTCCCCCTCTTCCCCCACCTACCTGAATCCACGGCCAGCACTTCAATACTGTACTGTGCCCTCCTCTCATGATCCAGCCGCCTGGCCAGTGTCACCACGCCCGTGCTCTGTTCCACAGAGAAGTCCTCGTAGGCGCCCCGCTGCAGTCGGTAGCGTATGGCGGCGTTGGCGGCTGTGTCTCTGTCGCGGGCGGCCACGCGCTGAACGACCGTGCCTGAGAAGTGTGAGGGGGGGGGGGTCAGGTTAGGGGAGGGTAAAAAAATAGCGTGCGCAATGTACATTTTAGTGTGTACAATATGGAAAGAATGGGAACTACGAAATTCTGGACGATGTGCGCATTCTAGGAAAATTAATGTCAACTAGCATGCTATCAAGATTTACCCTCAATAAGCATAATCACCCCAGAGTATCAGTATATAACCTCACGTCCTCCCTCACCTACTATAAAAAGGCTTTGGTGGTGCATGGTGGTAAAAAAAAATGGTGGTGCAGCATGGCTCGTCAATCAGCTTACACATTGGCACATTCTCTGACATACATCATATTATCAACTCCCAATCCTTCTCACCAATGGGTACACTCTCTGACATACAACTATATCCCTCTCTCCTTATCAATTATGGGTACAGTCTCTGACATACAGTTCACGAATTCCCATGCTCCTCACCAATGGGTACACTCTCTGGCAGGACGGCCTGGTACACTGTCTTGGAGAATTCTGGTTTGTTGTTGTTGGTGTCAATGATTGTCACCTCGACTGGTACAGAGACTGAGTGAACTCCGTCAGTCACCTGAGGAAAGGAGATGCTCGGTCAGTGTAGCACGCGATAGCAAACCAATCCGCAATTATTGAATTGGGTGTGCTAAGGGTAGATTCAACGCAAATGTTTCTCGTGTAAAAAAAAATGTAACCGTAAATATGGAGCTAATTCAGCAGTAGAAGAAGAAACACAAAGCTGCAAAGCTGAACACGAAACAAAAAAGAACTCACTTAACTCTCATGAGTCATTCATAGTTGCAGGTAACCGTGAAACTGGTCGGACAGCAATTTTAGTCAACTTCAGGTAACGTTCAAATTCAGTTCAGTCAACTTCAGAGCAATCCACTACCAAAAATAGTCCAACGAAATTTACAAGGGATTTAACTGCCTACAAAGTGACACATTACCTTTCATTTTAATTATTACTTACTAGTAAGTAGTAACTTACTATTCCTGACTTTCGTAAATTTACTAACACCGTGCACACCATCGTAAAAAAGATGACACACTTCCCAATCACTAACCTCAGCCACGAGGGCGACCATCTCCCTGCCCTGCACGTCATCCAGGTCAATGCCCTCCGTCTTGTTAACAGTGACCTCCCCCGTACTAGGGTCAATACGGAACACACCACCCTCCAGCAGAGAGTAGGTCAACTGGGAGGTCACGTCACGGTCCTCCGCCTGCCGGGTCAAGGGAACAGGTCAGAGGGGTGACAGCACTGGGGGCAATGGATCTAAGGATAAAGGACTGTCTTCCCAAATCATAACACTCTCGACATGATCTATTTTTGTCTTTGAAATTTAGCCTGTATTTTCTGACCGGGTTATAGCGTGATTGACATCTCTTCCATCCAAATAAAAATGAATGCCTAATTGTAAAAACGCAAAAAATATTCGATACTCGATGCACATTTAATACCTAGCACGGAGCTCAAAGAAAGCTCTTACGCCCGTCAAGAGCAAATCACACACCGCTCTTTCACGTCTCGCCCTGTCCAAGTCCATGCTTTTGTAAACCACTAGTATCAGCATTCAGGAAGCAGTAGCTATAGGGATCACGCTGGCACTGGGGGAGGGGGAGGGGGGCAACACAGGGGCTCACCCCAGGAGGGGGAAGGGACACCTACCTCGACCACCAGCGGGGGGTCAAACCGGCGGGCGCCCTCTCTGATCACGGCTCCGTACATCTGTCGTCCGAACCTCGGCGTGTTGTCGTTTGTGTCCAGAGTGACGATCTTCAGCGGCACGGACGAGCTGAGACCCTGGCCGGCCTCGTCGGTCGCCTGGGCGCGGGATGAGGGGGGGGGGTGTCAGAGGGGGGAGGTTAGGGGGGACAGATCAGGTACTGTGGTGGCGTGGGGAGTTTGGTAGGGGTAGCTAGTATCCAGTGTGCACTACAGCTGTTGTGGCCAGAGCACAAAGCAAACATTACTTGACAATTACCGGTAAATGAGTATGAAAAGTTCGGGGTAGCCATGAACACGTAACCGAAAACTAGCGCCAATTAAAGGTAGTGTGCCACCTTTGAAAGATTTCCCGTTTTATTTTTTCTAGGATAAGAAGCTTCTGTTTTTACCTAATATCGCAAAAAAAATCAAAAATGGGCCTGGAATAGTGCCTTTTTCGCCTAAAAGTTTATCGGTTTTTAGATATGTATAACAACTGTAGTGGGCTCACCTGCAAACAGGCGTCGGGCAACAATCGCGAATGCGGCGCACTTGTGACAATAAGCAAAGGTCATTATAGTGTTACGACCATACGACGTACGGGAATGAGTTATCAGCTGTCTAATCGTAGACAACACAATGTCGAGCCTTAAACTGTAAGCCTGTATTGGTATTGTTTCTTAAATTTGGCTGTCGAACATTAATTTGTGGTTTGAAATATGATTTTATGTAAAATAATTGATATGAAAGAGCCGTCTCTTAAGTTATGACCCCATTACAACACACGCAAGTGGCAGAAATGACAATGATCAGCTGACGCATTTTTCTTGGCCGAAGTCAGAGCGCGCGGCCCGACGCACCACGCGTATTTGGAAATTCCGACCTCGACGAGCATCAGAAGCCACCTAACAGGCGTGTTCGAAACCGCTCGACCGTTCCGTGCTTCTATCCTCAGGATACCGAAATCCTTCTCCTCCACCCCGCAACCCCTCTCCGGGCTGGACAGGCATCTTTATCTCATGCGGGCTGCTCCCTTGGAGCGGCACCGCTGCTCCCGAGGGAGCGCACCCCGTAGCCGGGTGCAGTGAGTGCCTTGGGGCTGGGTGGCCTGTCCTCTGGACGGGCTCAGCCCCGGCGACTTACTAGGGTGCCTGCCCAGACCAATGTCTCCCCCTAATTCCTATCATCCTTCCGGCTCTGCAATGGTCTTGTCGACCGAAAGGGCCTAACCCAACAAAACAAAAACAAACAAACAATTCGAAACCGCAGGAGATGATGATGAACGGGTTTATCGAAACTTGATTGGATGAGCCTATCGGTAATAGCGATTTTAGTGTGTGCATTTATTGTTCATAGTGGTGTGAAATGTGGTTGGGGTACGACCGACAACCCGTCGGGGCGAATTTCGCACTGGGGTACTCAAAATTTGAAGAATTTAAGACGTTTCCATAAGTTTTGAAGGTATGGATAAGTTCTAAAAATCCGGTTCTCCTTATCCGGGTCATTAACTCCATATGGTCCAAGAAAGCTGGCACACTACCTTTAAATTATGGTCTCACTTCAAAATGACTCAACTCAGCTCTACGGTAAATACTGGGGAACACGATAAGAGACTATAAGATACGGATTCCAGCAGAGAGATAACAGAGCGACTGGAGTAAATAATAATAGTCTTGCCTCCACAGTGAGAAAGTAGTCCCTACAACCTAGCCTTGACAGTCTGAGGAAGTACTCCCGCTAGCGACTGCCCATCTTCTTACCTCGACTGTGAGGAAATAGTCTCTCTGCGTCTCGTAGTCGATACAGGGCGGTGCTCCGGGCGTATCACAGGGCGCCACCACCACCGTACCCGTGCGGGGGTCGATGGTGAACCTGAAACCACACACATACACGAGGAGACACATTAGCGGCGAAATGTTGAGTAAGTGACATGATATACCGAACTCATCAACACATTGAGCACGGGACAGAATACACGGAACACATAATGAAAACGCAGATCAAGATTTCCGTTGGTATGTTGACAGGCTACATGAGTACGCCCTTCATTCTGGTATACATTCAGAATGCTCGTCCGAAGAAAAATAACAGTCCCTCGTTTAAGTCTCGGTTAAGTCTCTCCTAGTGATATCTCCTTTTAATTGGCCCCGTCTTCTTTCCCCTACGCTTTTCATCCGGATCCCACCAAACCTTCCTCATTTCTTTCTTTCCTGGCTTCTTCATACTTTCCTCTTTCTCTCCCTCTTTCATGCCCTTCCCTCTCCTTCACTCTCTCTTTATCTTCCTTTCTTATCTCACCTCTCTGAGCCGGCGCCGCTCAGCTGATAGACGATCCCCTCCAGTCCAAACAGACCCGAGTCGCGGTCACCGGCCGACACGGTGGTGATTATAGTGCCCGGGGGAGACATCTCAGACACCTGGGGAGAGGGTACAGATATCTCAGACACCTGGGGAGAGTGTAGAGACATTTCAGACAACTGGGGAGAGTGTCGGTGGTGATTATAGTGCCCGGGGGAGACATCTCAGACACCTGGGGAGAGTGTAGGAGATATCTCAGACACCTGCCGAGAGTGTAGGAGACATTTCAGACACCTGCCGAGTAGGTGGTGATAATAGTGCCCGGGGGAGACATCTCAGACACCTGCCGAGAGTGAACACATACATTTTAGACACCTGCAGAAAGTGTAACAAAAATCTAAGAAACCTGGGAAGAGTGTGCATGCAGACATTGCAAACACCCGGTGAGTGTTAGGGCATCTCAAACACCTGGGAAGAGCGTACGGAAATTTAAGACACCTAAGGAGAGTGAGGGATATTTCAGACACCTGCGGAGAGACTAAATACAGGCATTTCAGACACAAGCTGTAGATAATGTGCAGACAGACAGCTCAGACACCTGCGGAGTGTACAGACATTTCAGACACCTGCGGAGAGTAAAGGAGATATTCAAGACATCTGCCGAGTGTACAGAATCAGATACATATTCGGACACCAAGCCGGGTGAATGCACAAACATTTCACACGCCTGAGGAGAGGGTACGAACATTTCAGACACCTGCGGAGAGTGTGCGGATATATCAAAAACCTGTGAAGAGTGTTCAGACATTTCATACGCCTGCGGATACTGAGGAGAATGATAGCTCATACCTTAGCTTTTCGTTTTCCTCGTATCATTTCCATAATCTATCTGCTTGGAGTGTTTTATACGTGCTGTATAGGACTTTGACCTCAATAGGAACACACCGTCAACGCTTACATTCTAAAAGGTACAACAACCTTAGTATAACTAAAACTGCGAACTAAACTACACTAAACTCCACTGACCTGCGCGACGTAGGCGTCCTGGCTGAACCTGGGCGGGTTATCGTTGAGATCACTGACGGCCACGGTGACTGTGGCCGTGGTGGCCAGACGGTCCGGGGTGCGACTCTCCTCAGCAACCAGCTGGTGAGAGCGGGGGAGGGGGAGAGACGGCGTGAGTAGAGCGGGTGAACAGAGGGGGTGAGCACGAGCCGAGAAACGGCAGACTATGCTGGTCTGAAGTGGAAGCAACAAACTAGACTGAGCACCAGACACGGACGCCGAGATCTATGCATTATGCAATATTATACTGCTAATCATGTCATTAGCTTTTTGTTGTTATATTAAAACTATCAATACGGCAAATTGGTGGGAATTACATCTACTAGTAGAATCGGAATTGTATCTTCTCACTTTTGAAAAGCATGGCGCAATACGCTTGCAGACATAATCGACATAATTACATATCAAGAACACGAAGACAATCCATGCCACCGTCACTCGCTCTTACCAGCAGTATGAACTTCCTCTGGTTGGGGTTCTCATAGTCGAGCGGTCCACGCGCCAGTCGTACGCTGAGGGCACTGCTGCCAGTGCCCGAGGAGGGCTCCACACTGAACGGACCCGTCTCGTCCAGAAGACGTACTGTGAACGCGCTGCTCACACCCTGTAGCGAGAGAAACGGGGAACGTTAGAGCATATCATAGGGAGACAGATGAAAGGATATCAGATCGTGTTAGGGGAAAGGCGAGGGAGATACCACGTGAGGAGACGGGATTCTGTCGAGGGCGTAGGGAAAGGGGAGGGTATGATTTATCACGATGCAATGAGAATCGGAAACAATCCCTGATTTGAGTGGCCAAAGGCTAGGATTATTTCTTGCATTTAAGTTTGGGCTCTCCCTGAAGTATTCTTTTTTAATATCAGCCCGGTTTCCGAAAACATTACTAAAACATATTCAGCTCGACTACGTGAATCTCATTCAGTATCATTCAATCATATAATTATGCGTTAACTACTTTACAATAAGCTAACATTAATATCGTCAGTCAGGCAGAAGAGAAATAAATATTCAAACATACCACGTCGGCGTCAGTGACCAGGATGTTCAGTCCCGGCAGCGGAGTGCCGTCCCGCAGGTTCTCACTGATCGTTGTCGAATACTCCTGTCAAACAAAAATGATACAGAACATGGTACATCATCAAACACTTGTCACATTATTCGCAAAGATGCGTCTCGGGCGACGAAATTGAGCCTCGCTCGTGCAAACGGAAACCCCGATAGATTGATGTCGACCGCCCTCCTAACCGGTCCCCATCGGAGCACCAATTTAAGAACAATTAGCCCAACAGGTCACTCTCCGCCCACCACTATACCTTAACACCCCAAACAGCCCAAATACGACACCCAAAACACCTCAACTACAATAGAAAAGCCCAATATTCTAACGAATAGTGTTTGTCTATTTCAAACAGCCTGCGGTTAAGGTATACGATACCCCAAACACCCCAAATACGATACTAGACTTCGAAACACCCCCGACTACGATACCTGTTGACTGAAGCGAGGCGGTTCATCATTGGCGTCTCGTACGGTGACCGTAATGTCAGCGGTGGCCTCCGTCAGGGGTCCCCGCAGTCGGCGACCCGACTCCACCTCAACAGCCTGGTGAGGGGGAGGGGGGGGGGGGTCAGAGGTCAGTCGGCGGCCCGACTCCACCTCAACAGCCTGGGGAGGGGGGAGGGGTGGGGAGATCAGAGGTCCCCGCAGTCGGTGGCCCGACTCCATCTCCACAGCCTGGGGAGAGAGGGAGGTCATAACAGAGCCATGAGTATTGAGTATATTAAGGTTCGGATCGAGTTCAGTAAATTAAATGTGGAAAAAATAAAAAACTTTTTAAATAGCAGCAATGTGCATATCTTAAAATACATTATTGATTGTCAAATTCGTTCATTATCAATGAATGTCATGGCAACTTTTCACAAAAGGCAACAAAATGGGTACAATTTCGGACCTGCTACAAACACAAGAAAAGCCAAAGCATTTGACAAAACATGTCATCATCATCATCATTAGCCCATAATAACTAAATACGCACTTACTATAGCAGCAGCAGCTCTAGGCCATTATAAACCTCATCAATTGACACTACCGGTGGTTTCAACTTTCCTAGACTGGCACAGAATCCACCGACTCACCTTGACTGTGAGATGAATGGCGCCGCCGCGCACCAGATCCGACTCTCGGTCCAGTTTTTTGGCCGTGCTCAGCACGCCCGTCTCCTCGTCCAGCGAGAAAAACTCGCCAGGGTCTGCCAGGGCGAGAAAATGAGGTGTGAATGGTAGGAAGGCTTTGTGATGGATGGGGGTAGGTGTGCGAGCACGAGCATCTTTACGAAATACCATGCGGCAAGATTACTGAAGTCCGTTAGTCGAAGTGCATACTGCAGATACATCTCAGCTTCAGCAGTTCCCAGCAGGCAGACTAGGCAAGGAAACCAACAACTATGAGCAGTAAAATCACACCTCCATCTAGCCTTTATGTCATCCCAATTCATCCTGCTACCCTCTCCGCCTGTCCAGGCTTCTCTCTCCCTCGCTCGTTCCTTTCCATCTCTAATTCTGAACTACCCAATATCCATTTTGAGGATTACGTGTCACACCTTCCTCTATTCCCTCCCTCCCTCCCTACCCCTCTCCCCTGTCTCACTTTCCACCATCTCGAAGACGACAGGTCGTGCCGCCCCGCTGTCTCCATCCGCCGCCGCCACGGTCAGTACGACCGTACCGATGGCGGCTCCCTCGTCCACAACGGCCGTACGACTACCCGAGAACGACGGTGGCGAGTTCTGCACGTCCTGAACGCCGATCAGAGCACGGCCGGCGGCGGTGAAACGGCCGTCCTGTGGGGGGGGGGAGGGGGGGTCAGTGAATGAACGAATCGCACGTGGGTGGAAATATGTCCAACGACAAGCTGGGTAAAACAACTGGGTCGATGGTAAAGCTGGATTTCCTAGAGACTATGCTAAATCACAAACCACGTACTCATGTATGCTTCTTGACACTTCCTTTCCCTACACGTTAACAAAAACAAAACAATGACACAAACATGTGCCTCCCTCGTCAACATAACCAAACACATCATCTCCACAAGTCCCAATCATGACAATGAAACCTTCCCTCCTTCCCTCTCCTCACATACCCCCTCGAAAGAGTACCTAATGACCTTCACTTACGGTAAATACTTGAGATAAATACATACCGACGCGAGCAGCGCCACACTGATCCTGGGGTCTCCGGTCGGTGAGAGTACCAGCGGCCGTTGTAGCACCAGCGAGCCCACGTACAGCTGAGAGGTACTCTCCAGGGCCATCACTGTCAGCAGCTCACAGGCGCCCTCCGACTGGCGGTACACGGAACGGACACGGCACGAGTCGTGGTTAGGTGGGTGGGTTAAAACGTGTGGCGTTTGGATATGTATGCAGAAAGTTCGTGCAGTAAGAAGTAAGTACGGCAAGAGTTCGTCATTTGGTAAGTGTATGCGTGATTTGTAAGCCGAAAGGGTGATCTCAATATTATGAACATTTATCACTATGGTATAATAAAATTCACTTGCATGTTCTTATAACGGTAAACAACTACATATTTACCACGCTGGCCTGTATCGTTAAACTCACGCACACACAAGTACATACGGTAATTTGACGCAATCCTCTTATTACAGCTATTACCTCAAGTAAAGGTCATTAGGTACCCTTTCGAGTAATCAGACCCTTTACTCAAGAGATGCCTCCTCTTCTTCTGACGAAGACGAGTAGGCTGCCATGCTAGGTGAGGCCATACATTGATGGCCACGATGATCATTAGTATGAGAACTTGTAGTTGAACTTTTCAGGGTGGTCCTTCCATTCCTTCCCCAGTCTGTACTTGAACACATCGACATTTGGAGCATCGATGGTGTGGGTTGACAGCTTGTTCCATGTCTGAGTTACTCGTGCCGCAAAGAAGGCTTTTCTGGGTCCCAATTGATGCTGGACTTGAAGTTTTTGATCGTGACCTCGGGTGACACGGCTGAGAGAGTTCTTGAACATGCTGTTGTGACAACACGGGCACTCTCTTTGGAAGTCCACCTTGTCGAAGCCTTTCAAAATTTTGAAGGTCTCGATGATGTCCGACCGTTTCCGTCGGAATTCCAGAGTAGGTAAATTAAGGCTCCTGAGGCGATCTGAATATGAAAGGTGAGACAGTCCGTTCACCAGCCTTGTTGCCCGCCGCTGCACCTGTTCGAGTGCATCTTTGTCCTTTTTGAACTTGGGACTCCATATAACAGTTGCATACTCGAGGTGGGGCCTGACAATGCTTTTGTACAAGGCTTTGAAAATGTCGCTGTCAATTTTTGCAAAGGTATGCTTGATTGCACCAAGAATTCTATTGGCCTTGTTAATCTGGTTAGTGACATGTTTTGAGAAGGATAGCTTCATGTCTATAGTGACTCCCAGGTCCTTTTCCTCACAGACTGCTTCAAGGGTATGTTTGCCTCCACCCATAGTTGTCATGGTATACTCACTTCCAGGATTTGTTGGTCCTAGATGCATGACCTTGCACTTGAGTGGATGAAAGATCATCTGCATTGTTTTTGCCCAATCTTGCAAAGAGTTGATGTCCTCTTGCAGATTGTGAAGTTCACCATCGCGCTCGTTGATGACTTGGTAGACCTTGGTATCGTCCGCAAACATAGAGATGTGACAATTTAAGAGGTCGGGAACATCACAGACAAACATGGAAAACAAGAGAGGCCCGAGCACTGAGCCTTGCGGCACTCCACTTGTTACATACTCCCAGTCTGAGAGTGATCCATTGACGTTCACTCTTTGCCGCCTGCCTGTTAGAAAACTCCTTATCCACTGATGAGTCTTTGCATTCACCCCTAGAGCCTGGACCTGGGCTAGAAGCCGTTCATGGGGCACAGTGTCGAACGCTTTGGCATAGTCCAGAAACACAACATCCACTGGTAAGCTGTGGCTTAGCGCTTCCGTCCAAATATCAAGAGCTTCCAGTAGGTTTGTGACTGTAGATTTCCCTGTGATGAAACCATGTTGTTGGCGAGCGATAAGATTGTTTGTCTTCAGATGAGCGATGATGTCCTCGCATATGATCCTCTCCAGAATCTTGCATAATATTGATGTCAGTGACACTGGTCGGTAGTTCGCGGGATCACTTTTGTCGCCTTTTTTAAAGATTGGCGTGACGGTGGCCACCTTCCATTGCCGTGGAACTTCTCCAGTTTCAATACTTTTACAGAACAGAGATGTGATGGGTGTCGCAAGTTGGTCAGCAAGTTCGTGCAAAACACGAGGGTGCATGTTGTCGGGGCCTGGCGATTTATCAATCTTCAGTGTTTTCAGCTTGGCATGGACTCGCTGAACAGTTATCGCAATTTGCATCTCTGCCTCCAAAGGCTTTGGAGCTAGCGTTGGGATCGATGACTTGTCTTCCTTTGTGAAAACGCTTGCGTACTGATGATTCAATATATCAGCCTTGTGCTTGTCGTTAGTTGCCGGTTCACCATTAGCACTACGCAAGTCCGAGATACCACATTTTGATTTCCTGCGACGGTTGACGTAGTTCCAAAACACTTTGTGATTTCCTTTGACTTCTTTAGCCAGCTTCGACTCGAATTCCCGCCTTGCTTTCCTGGTCGCGTGGGTAGCTTCATTTCTTGCCTTGACATAACTTTCGTAATCATTACTGTCCTTGGTGTTCAGAAAACGAACCCAAGCGTGATGTTTTTTCTTCACCATTCTAAGAGCACTCCGATTCATCCACAGGGGATTTCCTCTTTTCGCTTTCTTGTTGGTGTCCAGCTTGGGCACGTACCTATCCATTAAATCCGTGATCGTTTGTTCAAGCGTATCTGCCATCTCATGCACAGATTTGCCTTCAAATAGTCCTCGCCAGTCAACGTCCAGTGCTTTCCTCATTTCTTCATAGTTGGCTTTGTGGTAATTCAGTACCGCACTCTTTCTTACTGGAACGTAAGGGACAAACGATATAGCAAATGAGACACTGGCATGATCGCTTGCTCCAACCGGGTCTCCAATTGTCAGTTGTTCCACCAAGTCTCGCTCATTTGTAAAGAGTAGGTCATCGAGAGTAGAGCGCTGTCCATCTCTGTATCTTGTTGGCTCTGTTATATGCTGTAGAAAGTAGGTATCGCGTATACATTCGATAAACTTACGAGCTGGGCTGTTCTGGCTGACACCTTCTGGAACTTCTGGGTCCGGGGTCCAAAATATTTCTGGGTGGTTAAAGTCACCGACTATAACCTTGTGCGAATGATTTGTGGATGCTGCCCAGCCAAGCATTTTGTGAAGATCAGGATCTTGAGGAATAGCTTTACTTGGTGACCCGCTTCTGTAGATCACCCCAACAAGCATACTTGCTCCACCCCGGGCATTAACCGTAATCCAGGTGCAATCCTGAAAGTTGCAGTCTCCCGCGGGATAAACTTGTTTGGCCATCAGATTCTTTTTTACATAAATTCCCGTGCCCCTAGTAGCTCCGGCTGAAAAGTTGCTAGTAAATAATTCGTAGTCGGGCAGTTCCATTACAGGGTGTTCAGGCATCAACCCAACTTTAGGTTTCATTTCTGTTAATGCAAGAATATCATAGCTCTCAAGTGCAGTGAGTGCCAGCATCGCGTCGTATTTACTCATAATAGAATTGTCGATGTTGGCATAAAACACTTTCAATGAGTTAACAGTATGGGTTACAGGCCCGGCAGGTTTCTTGTCGTCTTGAATGTCTAGTCTCGATGTGATGGAACCATGTGATGGAACTATTACAATTTAAATCAAAAGTATCTCTAGAAGTAACCAATTGAAAAAGAGTACAGCTTCACACCGACAGCTCATCGACACAGCAAACACAGGACAATAAAACTCAACAATCTGGAGAACAATAAAACTCAACAATCTACACGATATTTCACACCCCGTCAGCTTTGTCTCCAACATACCGAGCTTTTCGGGTCGCAGGTGACGTTCAGGTTCTCTCCGACCAGGTCAGGGTCAGTGACCTCGATCTTCTTGATGACCGTGCTCCCGACCGGAGCATCCTCGCGTAGTTCGGCCTCGTACAGTGCCTGGGGGCAGGTCAGGGGTCAAAGAGGTCAGGGCTGGAGTTAGAGATTATAGCAGCGGTTAAGAGGGATCATGGCAAGGCACATAAGAGACATGGTCAGATGGGTCAGTTAGCGAGGTTGGGCAGGGGTCAGAGGTCGAGGTAGGGGTCAGAGGTCAGATCAGGGGCTAGAGGGATCATGGCAGGGGCAGACGTCAAGGTAGGGGTTTGAATTCAAGACAGCAGTTACAGGCCAGAAATCATGGATCGTCATAATGAGATCTCAACACTTCAACCGTAAGACGTTAGGGTTGAAGCCTTAGTTCTGCAGATGCGATTTAACCTTACCCCAGCTACTCTGCCGCAGCTGGAAACAAGTCCCTTTTCTAATCTCAAGCAGGACGTCTACAAGCACTGCTGCAACCACTCTTCACTATTATCCGATCACTTCGCTCACCTTTTTAAACACGGGCTCGTTGTCGTTTTCGTCGACAACGATGACGGTGATGGGCACGGAGACCTTGTTGTTGTCACCGCCCTCCACACGGTCCTCCAGGGTCACCTGGAGCTTCAGCTGGGTGGTCGTCTGTGGACGGAAACGAGGGTGGATGGTAAGGGAGTGTATGTAAGAGTGGGGTGTGAAGTAATTGAGAAATGGCGCGGGGATATAAATAAGAACATCTGAACCAAGGTAGACTGGTAAGCTGAGATGAGTTCATTCAAACACATGCGAACAAAGCTTAATGTCCAGCTCTATTATTTTATTGGATGTAAGGTAAGAAAATCAATGCATTTCACATTAATTTTTTTCAAACAGCATTCTATTCATAATATTCTAACTACCTACTTCATGTATGATAATGAAAGATTATCTCAGGCATGGTGATTGTGGGTGTACTTGAAATAGTAATGATGCTGAAAGAAGCAACGCTTATGCTCAATTTTTTTTAACATCGTAACATTCTACCCTTCCCACATCTCACACGCTGACTAATGAGCATCCTCTCTCACCTCGTGGTCGATTCGTTTCTGCACCGACACCACGCCGGAGCGCGGGTTGACCTGGAGTACGTCGGTGCCCTCCAGGCCGTACAGAAGGGGTGAGCCCTCTGGGTCCACTCCTGGGGTCACGATAGGGGTGCGGTTAGGTGATCTAGGTTGGAGGATATCCAATGAAATAGCGAAGAAGGTTCGGACAAGACAGTATGGAGAAGGTCACAACAAAGAAACAGCAGAAAATTTAGTAGGTACAAAACAATGAACAGGTAGGTATCACACAATGCATGGGAGAATATACAATTAAGGAAAAAAGATAGACACAATAGGTAATGATGCCGATGGCAACAACACAGCAGAAATTCAAAATAGCCGACAAAACAGTGTCAAATATCGACCAAACTGACGAATCATCACACTTAAGAGCTGAGTGGTGAATATTGGATGAAGCACTTAGCAGAACAAAGTGGAACTCAATGATCTAAGAAAAGGGTGGTACTTACCTACCTAATTGATATTTCATACCATACCTGGCAAGGTCAGTAAGTTGTAGCCACTCACCTTTTAGGGTGTAGACTTCCTTTCCGATAGGAGTGTTTTCCGAAATCACATGGTAATCCATGTTGGCCTCAAAGCTAGGTGGTTCATTGGCACTTACTGCTGCCATATGGCAGCATATGACCAAAAGTGCCTTCTGTATAAACATTCTGCAAATACAACATAAGTCATCATAAAGTAATTGGAAGGACCAGTGAAAAAAACTAACAACGAGTGCTTAAATGTAGCCAAATCTCAAGGAGGCAGACACAATACAGTTAAAATATTAAAACAACGGTGGAAAACATTCCAAGGCAAATATTTTTGTGATTGCAGTTGTGAGTCGTTAATCATGACCTACTGTTTAACTCCCCTAGGTATTTATTCACCTGTTTGGGGTTCCTTTGGCCTGAGACTTGAGAGTAGCCAAAAGAATAGAGGAACAGGGAGTAGGGAGGGGACCTGCATAGAAAGAGCTTGCCGGGTGGATGAGAACTAGAGATGTCAATCGGATACCAACTTTTTGGTACACCGATACCAAACCGATACCAACTCGGCATTTGGTATTTGAATCCTAATTTGTTTGGTATTTTGTTGGTATCATGAACCCTCGCTAATGTTTGAGAGGCTAAGAAATCGGTAAAAAGTTGGTATTTTCCTCATGTTCCCAAGTTGGTTTGGTTTCGGTATTTCTCCACGGTTTTGGTTGGTATTTGGTATGGTATCGGTATTCCGATTTTCCGTATTTGACATCACTAATGAGAACCCGACTGGAAAAAATATACGTTACGCCGATTGCCGAACATGTCCGGCGTAGTGTCAAGATGGTGCCGAAAATTTCAGCGCATGTCCGGGATAACTTTGCATGCGCCGAATTCAGCGCATGGCGGCAGCTGAATTTTTCGGTGCAGGGCGGCTACGGATTTTTTTGGCGAATGCGGTCACATAATTTAGTCGGCACACTGGTCAATCTAGCAGCAGATTTCGAGAGGGTTCGGGACGAGATGTCCCCGTCCTGGTCGTGTGCTCGAACTGGCGAGCCGCCCTGAGGATACTCAGCGGAGGAGCGGCCGTCCAGGTGAGGCCTCCACCCTGGGTATGGAAGACCTGATTCAACATTGCAGAGCGTCATGAAGTAATACTGCAGTGGGCTCCTGCCCACTGCGGTAGTGCCCACTGCGGTGCCGAGCGGAATGAGAGCGCGGACGACCTGGCGAAACAAGCGGCCGCCCTGCGCTCCGACGCCCGCTCACTGACCCGGACGGTTCATTATGCGGCCCCAGCCCTCGCGTCAATGGCGCGACCAATGGTCTGAACCACTGGTATTCAAGCCACTCATTGGGAGAACGCCGGCGCTCCCTGTCCCCGGGGAGGACCGAGAGGACACCGTTTCCGTGCACCAGTTAAGGGCGGGGCCCGGGTCACTGGGAGCGTGCCAGCAGTGCCCAGACAAGCAGTGTCCTGCTGCGCTCTGCACCGTGAGCCGAGATAAGGCTGATCTGATGTGCCGGGGCAAGTGCTGCTCTGGCCCTTGCTGGCGCCCTTCTTACCTGGTCTTCTTACCTGGTCGGGTTCCCTTGTTCTGCTTTTAATTGAAGGAGGGGTCAGGAGGGGAGGGGTCAATTGAAGCCCTCCAGCTACAAAACACACCGCTCAGTGCTCCGGCAATGTTTTTTGCCTCAGAATTTCCGGCAAGGGCCTCGTTTCATGGCACGACGCTACAGTCCGCTAAGCGTATTGTGGTACCTATTGGGTTTCCGTGGAAATAAAAAAAACTTATTTGGATGCTCAAACATGGGAGAGCATTCAAGGCTCTGAAGTGCTCTGTCTGGCTGATACTTGGAGCCTTGGTCAGTAGATGTGCACATGTGCTCAGTGCTATTTATAAAAGTGGCTTAATGTTGACACAAATAAGCACACAATTTAAGGCACAAATCATGCAGAAGTTTCAGCACAAAATTGCTTGTGCTAAATTTTGGTGCATGGGGGCCACACGGGCATCTGGCGTAGCATATGGATGTTTCTTGTCTGGGATGAGAAAACATCCAATTGGGAAAGTGAGCCCACCAGCGTCAAATGGATAAGTCGCAAAGAGTGTAGTGATGCAAATAGCAGCATTATCAAATCGGTACACAGCATCCAGTCATGGGACACAACTTCGTCGAACACAACTGTCACTGTCACTGCTTGACTAAGCAGTAGACTATAACTGACAACAAATACTAGATTCATATTACTTACCTTAAAATACTTGTCCAATGTCCCCTCAATTTACCTTCAATATTTCATCAGTAAAAGACATCGACCACCACCAGCCTGAAAACAAAAACGAAACAGCATCAACTCGAAGTCTCTAAATCGAACTAGAACTGTGGTTAGTGGTAACACAATCGCATCAGATCTGCATAACAATAAAGATATCAACGCAAGCCTGTTTGATCCCGACATAAAGACAACTGCTTTGACCATCACCTACTCACCTTTTAATTTGATAAATGGGCCCCTCAAGCCCCTCAGCCTTTCAAGGATACGCGGCCTAAAATATTTCCCTTCACTTTACCAACGTAAGCAACGGTGGCCTTCAAAAAGTTTGAGTTGCATGAACAAAAGCAGAAAACATTCAATGCTATGCTTCGAAAAATAAACATGCTATCAAACACAAATGCACCGCTTTTTGTCGCAGCTGCGCCAGATACCCCCAGTGGAGCGTCAATGACCTCGGACGGGTACGGACCGGTCACACGGGTTCCGTTAGTCGGTCATCCCACGGGAGAGGGGAGGGGAGGGGTGCGGGTGCAAGATTCCAACGTTTCGCGCATGCTAATCCCGCGGGTCCACTTCATTTTTTTCAGAGGCCTTGTATGAAACGGTTCGGGAGTGGGTTGTGGGATATAAGGGATATTTCCATCTTTTTATTTTTTTACAGAATGTATGCGAAATTGAAGAAACATTCACATAAGAGCGCCTTGCATCTCCATTATGCTATGCACATCAGCGTCAACAATGCGCTCCTTCAACCAAGCCCTCCATTCAGTCGGCCTTGCATTCAGTCTTGCTTGCGAAGGTCTTCAACCAATCTGAGACAGGGCGACATCTATTCACGAACGGAATTATAGTTACAGTCACAGATGACGCTAAGAGCTTCACTTTGTAATGTTTTGTATGCATTATTGTAATGCTCGGGAGAAAGGTGACGCTAGCAAATTTCTGAGCGGGCTTGTTCTTCTTATTCCAACATCATGAATGAGCATTGAGCAACATACGCTTGTATGTAGGTACATTTTTTCGCGGACAAAGGCACACATTGCAAAAGTGCTTAGGTTAGGACAAAGTACGCATGTACGCCAATATTCGTTACGGTCAGGTGGGCCGTGAGGGTAACCGCCAGCCCGGAAAGAGGGCGTGAGGGGATCATTTGTCCGAGATGGTGAGGACGGATGACGAAAGTGTAGATAAACGTGGTTCGTTAAAAGTAGTCATCAGATGATCAGATAATGCGTTTTGCTCGGTTGCAAAATAGATCCTAAGGCACATAGCTACATAGCTAGCTAATCTGCGAGTAATGTCAGAGCTGGCACGGCACGTGTTCCGTGCCGATCTCCTTCACCGTGCACGGAGGCCCTGAAACAAATAACAATAAAGATGCCAACAATGTTGCAAAAGATGACGGCGCATTCTGTTGCCAAGAGGCAACTGACGTCCAATGTGGTATCTCTGTCGCAGCGGTTTGGCTCCGGTCGTTGAACTCCACTGGACTCTGGTGCCAGCCGACAGCTCTGTGGTCAAGGCCAAGGTGAGACCAACAGGCGCCGACACCTGTGCCGGTCTGAGCTATTCGAGAACAGGGACGAAACTTGAACTGCAGCGTTGTAATGAGCGTTATAATGGGGACGAAGTATGAGCTGTTGACCATTAATTTAAGTAACGAGGACAAAATAGCGTTGTAATGGGGACAGTAGTTTTGAACATTATAGGTAACTAGGACAAGAGCTACGCATTATATGGGGACAATAATTGAGCACTCTAACGTGGAAAGAGAAGAGCGTTATAACGGGTTAGGCTAATCCGTTTAAGCGCTCTGCCCTTTTCCTATAACCCGGTTAGCTGAGCGTTACTATAATGAGCGCTATTTGACAGAAAAAGTCCTTCAATTAAATAGAAACGGGTCTTGTGTAATTTATGTCGTCCGAACCAAACGTTACCTAATTATTCGAGGATCTGGATGGCTGGCCATTCTAAGGCACCGGTACGTAAAGCGTTTATTTTTTTTTTATCAAAGAATCATCGTCCTAAAGATAGTTCTGGATAGTTCGAGCACAGTTGCATAAACGTACAGTCTTCCACGGACCGCCGGGTCCGCACAAGTCAACATTCTTCTGTTCCAGGGATTATAGGCCGAATAAAACATGTAGTGAAGGAGTTAACCCGCGCCCTGCTGGGGTCCTGGATTTCCACGCCCTGCTGGGGGGGTGTTTGAACACCCCCCCTTGTAACTCGGCTCCTGGGCCACGTAGCGACACGCGGAAGGCGGCGTTCGAAAGAGCGTAAAAATAATGACGAAATCATTTCAGTCAATTTTTTGGTCAGGTCAAAGGTCAGGTCACCAGAGGTCATTGAAAGCAAAATTTCGCCGATTTCCAGGTCGAATGTCGAAAATTTCCAAGAAGCCAACGCATAACTCGGGAACCAATAGAGCTACAGCGCCGCGGAAAAGCGCATTCGATAGCCCTATTAACGCCCTTTCTGAATAATTCTCTCAGATTTGACCTAACGTCAACGGTTTTGCCTGCAGGGGGCAAAACTGCAAAATAGCCGTATTTTTGAAAACAGTTTTTCTGCAATAACTTTTGACCCAAGCCTTGTACGAGCTTACTTTTACCGGCATCGTGTTCCTCTCGTCAAGACGCATCGATTGAACTATAACTTGACCTTGAAAGGTCAACTTGAAAATTTGACCTCAGGTCAAGGTCATGACCTGACCGGAAAGGGTCATGTTGCATATCAGTCGATCCGTATCGTCGAGCTGAACACATCTAAGGCGTTTTCATCGCTCTAGCATGCCTCTATCAAAAGTTATTTGCGAAAAACTGTTAGATACCATTCGTGACCTAAGATGACCTCAGGCATAAACAAGGGTCACAGACACCATTTTCAAGTTCAGTGTGTCTAAACCACTTGTAATTCGGTGTTTGGGAGTGTTTATAATGTCTTTCATCCAAAAGAGGCGCATTTCAATTTTCTCCCATTGACTTATAATGGGGAGGTCGCAAAATTGACCTGACCTTAGGTCATCGATATCAAAATTCTGAGATATACATTTTGTACATGCTATTGCTCTTAGCAATCGCTGAAAGTTTCAAAGCGATCGGTCACTCGGTGTAGCTATGACAGACATTGAAAGTTTTTATGAGGTGAGGTCACTTCAAGAGACCTGGTGACCTGACCTTGAATGACCTTGGTCTGAAATTTTCACAACATGTGTAGAATTGATGTATGATAAGTGTACCAAAAACGGCGGCGCTCCGCGCCGCCGTTTTTGAGATATTCGCGAAAAACCACAAGGGGGGTGTTCAAACACCCCCCCCCCCCAGCAGGGCGCGGGTTAAACGCTCCAATGGAGACAAGAGTTGATCGCTACAATGATGGGGTCATAAATCGTTCTCTGTTCGATATAATAGGTAGGTATACAGAGTGATATAAGCTACCAATGCTTATTCACTATTAGGAGGCAAACAATGGACATGCTGGAAGAACTTACCAAATGAATTTGAGTTCGCTTGGCCCTTGCAGAACAGGAAAGTTATTATTTTAGTTCTGATGTATCACTTCTCGTGTTATTATAACGAGCACCAACTGTTTATAACCGCATGAGCAAAGGCATCACGGCACCGTTACAAAGAATGCAATCTGTGTGCAAATAATGCAGCTGTCTGGCAGGATAACGGCTATTAAGTTACCAGCATGACATGCACCCCGATGTACGCTGTATCCAGTATCCACTATCCATGCAGGTATCCGAGGACGGTGACGTTGAAGGTAGATAGACCATCAAACGGTTCAAGAAGGTAAACGTGATTCTAAACGTTGGTAAACGGCAACGCGAAAAAAAAACGCGATGGTAAATGGATAACAACGTGATGATAAACGCTATAGGAAGTCGACACAATATATAAAACGATGAGGGCGCGATAAAAACACGATAGCAACTAAACGCAAAAAAGACGTGATTGTAAGCGCTCCTCAGAGACACTTTTAATAAGATTTAACCCAATTGCCCATATCCGTCGACGTTCAGGTCTGCACGTGACCGAACCCCTCCATGTTATCTTGGCCCACGGTCGACAGGGAAGCCATGTAGTCTGGTCCTAACGGCCAGTGACGCTACATATTTATGAAGTCTGTGTCCTCCTTCTGGTCTGCGTCGTCTCTCTCTCTCTCTCTCTCTCCCTCTCCTCTCTCTCTCTCCTCTCTCTCTCTCTCTCCTCTCTCTCTCTCCTCTCTCTCTCTCCTCTCTCTCTCTCCTCTCTCTCTCCTCCTCTCTCCTCTCTCTCGCTCTCCTCTCTCTCTCCTCTCTCCTCTCTCTCTCTCTCTCTCTCTCCTCCCTCTTTCTCTGCTCTCTCCGGATTCCCCTCCCGTTTCGATCCGAGCGATATAGCGTTTCACAGCTCGGCGATGGAGCGGACTAAAACGCAAATCACGAAGGGGCCATCAATGTTTTGCTGCTGTCCGAAAGCATGATTAAGTGTGCGTAGGTAGTCATGGCCCGTAGTCACTAGTCATGGCCATGTATATGTAATTATGTATACCTATCGATTTCCCCTAAAATTTCCATAAATTACGAAGATCCTACTGTACCTATTTCTGGGCACTTATTGGCGTAAACTTTAAATTGTCATTTCTCTCAGGCCTCAGCAAGTAAAATCATAATGCGGAATTATCTTAGCTTTAACTGACTGGTAAAAATGCAACCTCGTCTCACTGCACGATTTTTTCCCTTTTTACTTGACAAAACCGAGAATAGTTTGAAGATTACGCAATGCATCAGTGATAACATGGCTAAACCAGTATAACGCCTTTTGGGGCGACTAACGGAGCGAGCGAGAGGGTGGGCCTTGCACGTGCGAAATTGCGAGGGGGTACCTCCAACTGACTTGTGCACGGCACCCTACTAACTGGTCTCTAGCGATGTGCCGAATTTGGGCACAATCGGCCCAGCCGTTCTCGAGATCTGGAAGCGGCACCCTGCACGTGCGTACGTGCAAAATGGGTCCCAACTGACTTGTGCACGGCACCCTACTAACCGGTCCCTAACCGTGTACCAAATTTGAGCGCAATCGGTCCAGCCGTTCCCGAGATCTGGAAACGACCCCTGCACGTGCGCACGTGCAGCAGCACCCCAACTCTGGCACATGTACATGCAGTGCCTAGTGGGTGCCTACCTACATGCCAACTTTCAGCGCAATCGGCCAAGTGTAGTTACCGAGATATTGCAACAATTACAAAAGTGACACCTCTTCGTTTTGCACGTGCACGTGCATAAGGGGTCACCCACATGCATCGGAATAGTGCA